TAATTTTGAATTAAATTTATAACTTTAATCAGCTAAAATCCAAATTTTAATTAAAAATTCCATATTCAATTAATGATCTTATTAATGCAATTAATTAAAATAAACTAAAATAAGAAAAAAGAACTTAAAATGAATGTTTCTACTAATCAAACTTTGTGTACAACTCATACTAAAACTCAAACTCCTAAAAAAAAAACTAACAAAGCATAAAATAGAAAGAATGCTCTAAAAATTCTAAACTAAACTCCTCTTGCTCTCTAACAAGCAGCTCTCCAAGCCTTTGCTCTTGGTATACCCTGCAACTGCAAGCACCAGCTCTTGCAATTGCTAGCCACAATGTACTTGCAAGTAAACAAACAAATCATTAGTATGGTATACTAAAGCGAACTAGTACTGGTAAAACAAAACTAGTGTTGATAAAATAAGTATTGGTAAAACAAAATTAGTGCTGGTACAACATGTATTGGTAAAACAAAATTAGTTTTAGTAAAGTAGGTACTAAAACAAACAGAACAAAACTAGTACTAGTAAGATAATAGCTGGTATTAAAACAAACATGTACTAAAGTAGAACTATTACTGAAAGTAAAGGAGTGAGTGCTTAACACACAACTCTACTAAAGTAAAAGACAAGCTACTCAAGTAGGAAAGCTACGAGCACTATTACAAATAAAATTACACTAAACTATTAAAAGCTAGGGTGGAAGGCACTAGTGTCTGGTGGTAGGGTGTGTTACTACTCTAAAGTTAGCCTAATAGGCAACTACTAGCTAAAATAGGATAAATCTCAGCTAAATTAAAGCCGTAAGTCCCGACTCAATCCTAACATATGGGCTACTTTTAAATGAAATCGTAAGACCCACTACTTGGGTTACCTAAACCCTAAACCCTAAACCCTAAAACCCTAAAACCCTAAACCCTAAACCCTAAACTCTACTTGGGTTACTTTTAATAGAAGCTGTAAAACCTGTTATATGGGTTAATGTTAATAGAAGTCATAAGTCCCAATTCAAATCCAAAAATACGGGCAACTCTTAAACGGAGTAGCAAGGTCCAACATAATTCTAAACTACAGGTAACTCCTAAACGAGGCCATAAGATGTAACACCCCACAATACCTCTTAAACGTAGAGTGTAACATGCATAACACAACATTTTCCTGATTTAACCTCTGATACAATTTCTTTAGATGAAGATTCATATAAAACATTCAAAAATATTTTATTGGATACATCAAATGAAGTAGCTAATAATTTAAAACTTCAATAAAAATATTTTTACGGAGCCACAAAGGAAATCGTAAATAAAATCTATTTCTGAAATGTTTTCATACCTTACAAGTAGACTCACTAACAAAGATAACCTTATCATAAAAGAAGAAATAACTTGCATAAATTAATATGCAATAATATTTTTTTCCATTTCCTATAACAACAGCCAGTAAAAAAATACTGGTGAACTATGAGGCTAAATAAATTATGCAAATTAATTAATAATTAAAATACAATAAAATGAATAAATCAAAATATTGAAATCATCACTGAAAACATATTTAAAATATAATTAGCATGATTCTTTATTTCTTTTGGAGTTTACACTGAATATCAATTTTAATATGTAAAAGATTTGGTTACATTTTCTTAACAATATTCAATGGAGCCCAGATAAATCTGACATTATCACCAGTGAATTACATAGAGGTCCATTTTGCGCCACATGCTATACATATATAATATTTTTTGGGGTCCCTTTTGCCCCGTTTACCATGTAGTCTCTTGTAAAGGAATCATTTTGTCCCCACTATACTGGTAAGTCATACATCATTTATAGCCAAATTTTACATTAAATTAATAATCAACATTCTTTCCATAATCATAGCTCATATTTGTTTTGTTTCTTGCTTTCATAATCATTTCTATTATAACTTGTATAAAATTTATATGCATAAATTTTATAAAGAAATTGACATCCTTCTAAAATTTTCTCAAATAGAAAAACATTTAGATAAACGTACAAACCCTTATCTTGAACTCATATGCTAGAATTTTATAAGCATAGTTCATACTTAATTTTTAAGAACATTCTAAATTAAAACAAATTACTTGTAACACTTATGTTCCTTTATTTCAATCAATCACCAACAACCAATTATCAATCTACAAATAGAATTTAACAAAATTCCTTTAAACATTAAATTTGCATTACTTACCTTCTTGTCGAGGTGTCTCCTCAAGTTCTCTATTTCATAATCTTCTACGATTGTAAGTCACTCCGAAACTTTCTTTCTGCATAAGACTAGATGAATCTTGATTTGTTCTCACTTAACTTTTCTTCTTTTTGTATGTTTCCTTGATTGAATATATATTCTACACTTTAAAATAAATTTCAATATTAACCACATTCTATCAGTAAGCAACGTAAAAACATATGTAATTTACTTAATTTAATACCTTCTTTCTCTATCTATGTAGTTTCTCTACTTCCCCTTACCCCACTGCCAATTTCTCAAAGCAACATGCCAAAAAGAACTCTACAGGAATTTCATGTCTGAGCCCAACTTCACAGTCAAATTGCTACATGACCCAGCCTTTCCGAATTCCCATTATGTCGAAACTATCCGCAGTGTTTTTTGGACACTGTGCCGAACGGTTGAACAGGGACTTCTGCACTCAATCGAAATCCTACTACAGGGCTTTTATCGAACACTGCTACAAGGCTTCTTCCGAACACCACTACAGGAAAAAATTCCACCGCCAACTACAGACTTGCGTGACCGAACATATAAGGCATAACTATTTTCAACAATAGTTTTTACGTGGAAACTCCTGAAAAAGGGAAAAAACCACATGGCCTTGCCCAATTTGAAAAAATCCACTAGTATTTGCAGTTGATTACAAATGACGCCCTTCTTAGGGAGAAGGCCTTGGCTTGATGGTACAAATGACATGGTGGGAGTTACAATAATCAACATAGACATGCTTGTTTAGTTAACAGGACCATAGTTGATAAGATAGAGGTCAGAAAGACCGTAGTTGGCAGAAGATCTGGGTCAGAAAGATCGTTGTCTGATGATGGAGGTCGGAACGATCATAGTAGGTGACGGAGGTCGAAAGGACCGTAGTCGGCATGAGATAGGATTCCGAAAGGACCGTAGTCGGCAGGAGACCGGGGTCTAAAAGACCGATGTAGTAGGGCGGTACTCTGGTAGAACTCTGGGCGTCAGGTGGTGGCCCAGCAGAAGTCCGGGCCTCGAGTGGTGGTTCGGTAAAAGTCTGGGCCTCAGGTGGTTGTCCGACAGAGCTCAGGGCCTCAAATGGTGGTTCGGGAGAGGTGAGGGCCTAATGTGGTGGTCCGGCGGAGCTCAGGACTTCAAGTGGTGGTTCGGTGAAACAACGACGTTTGGCGGTGTTCTGGCAGAGGTGAGGGCCTGAAGTGGTGGTCCGGCGGAGCTTAGAGATTCAAGTGGTGGTCCGGCGGAGCTTAGGACCTCAAGTGGTGGTCCGACAAAATTCTTGGCCTCAGGTGGTGGTCCGGCAGAAGTCCGGGCCGTAGGTGGTGGCCTGGTGGAGCACAGAGCCTTAAGTGGTGGTCCGGCGGAGCAACGACGATAGGCGGTGGTCCGGCAGAGGTGAAGGCCTTAAGTGGTGGTCCGGCAGAAGTCTTAAGTGATGATTTGATGGAGCAACGACATCAGACGGTGGTTCGGTGGAGGTGAGGGCCTTAAGTGGTGGTCTGATGGAGCAACGACGTCAGGCGGTGGTCCGACGGAGGTGAGGGCCTCAGGTGGTGGTCCGGCGGAGCAACGACGACATGCGGTGGTCCAGCAGAACTCAGGCGATGGTCGAGGAAGAGCTTCCTCCTTCTATTCCTTTTATTTTTCCTTCTCTTCTTTCTTCGGGGTCCCCTTTCAAGAGAAATGAGGGGTCTATTTATAGATTTATGGAGTGGTATGGCCCGTAAATAAGTGAGAGATCAAGGGTAAATGGGGAGTGGTTGGATGGACGGCCGATGTTGAATCCCTTGATCATGGACTGTTTGATGGACATTTGAATGTCTTTGTGATGTCGGAATTCAGTGATCTTGGGCTCGTTGGATTCGTCTCGTCGAGCCGCTCGATTCGACTATAAGCACATCATGTTTGGAAACCGTTTGGTAATCCAAATTGTGGTTCAAATTCTCCAACAACGCTTCAGACCCTTGATTTGGACCTATTTGGGCTCGGATTGAGTCGAATTTGGTGTCGTTGGGTTCATATTTCCGAGACGTTCAGTTCGACTGTAAGTTTGCTGAAATCGGAGTTAAACAAACTTGAACATTAATGCGTTCGGCTCGTTATAATAAGCTAGATAAAAATAATTAATATTTGACTATAAAATTAATAAATATAAATAATTATTGCCTTTATTACATAGACAATTACTTTTATTATAAATGTGTTTGTTCATAGATATGTTCATGAATGTATTTGTTTGATAGTTAAAAAAAAATTCGTTAAATATGTTCGCGAACAAGCTCGATAAGCACTAAACGAACGAACATGAACACTCATTAATTTAAATGAACAAAACATGAACACAAGCAATAAAGCTCGAACAAACATGAACCAAACTTGAACAATATGATATTAAATGAACACAAACATGAACACTCACATACTCGGCTCGGCTCGGTTCGTTTGCAGCCCTAGGCAGAATTATGGTCTCAACCTCTTTAGTTATCTAGTTTCTGAAACTGGTTTCCAGAAAAGATGTTTATATGGCTTTCGATGTAAAAATTCAGTAAAGAAAAGTGAAAGCTCTTCTTGCCAAAGTATTGAAAGTTAGATTGCCTTCATATGTTTTGAACTCGAAAACTACTAGGGTTATTTACCTTTGGGTTGCCCCTTAAGTCAATGAGTCTTCTCTTTTTCGATTGCATATTCTGTTCTGTTAAACTTATGATTATGATTCATTCATCTCATTTACCTTCATAAATTTCTACCACTTTATAGTTTTTGCATAGGTATTTGCAACACTTAGCCCAATCCCAGGCTACGTGCAATGGCTGCTATCCAAATTGGCATCGCATTTGAAACTTGGTGAAGAAGAGACAGAGAATGAGACTGACTCAGAAATAGTTTTTAGCTCTACTTTAAAAGAACATGTCCTTCTTCCGGAAGAGGAAAGGATGATATTTGAGTCAGGAAAGTACGTTTCTAATGTCCGTACATTTTTCTCATGTCCTTATTTTTTTTTTGTTTGTGCTTCGTTGTTTATTGTATCTCATTGGTTTCATTCTATAGCGGCATTTGATCTCTAATTAAAGTTATAATTTTTTAGCTGTAGTTTGTGCTTATGCGTTATATCTTGCGGTTTGAACTGTGTTTACATTCTTCAGTTGAGCTATGCGGCATGTTTCACAGAATTGCGTTTTCATTTATGAAATTTGTGCTTTGCTTTGCTTGCTTCATTCTTTTCCATTGAAGCATGTGGCATAAAGGAAAAACATTGCGATCTGTGTGCGCAGATATGGTTGTGACCAAGAATTGAACGCGATGGTCCTCTAGTGTTTGTTTTGACAGTCATGCATGGGATAAACAACATTCACCTAGATTGATTTGAACAATATAAACAATATCGAATTTTTTTTTTTTCATCTGATGCTGCTACTGTTTAATACAGTAGCTGTTGAGTGGAAAATATAACCCTTCCGAGCAATGTTCTCTTGTGATATGATTACTATGCTTAATAAGTTGGTTTGATCTGTGGAAGAGTTACCTGGAAGGAGGATCTGTCTGGTACAGGATTAGGTTTAGGATACTTCAATATAATTGAAAACTTCTCACAACCTTTAGTTTATGATAACTATTGACAAGTTTGCAGCTTAATTTATAGCCAAGAAAGAGCTTTGCTGGCATGCTTGGACACATGCATTGTTCTAATATGAATACAACCAGCATGCCTTGAGAATTTGTTAAAAGCATTCCTTTAAAAAAAATTATAACTATGATTGATGTAGGCAAAGGGGGGGTCAAATCAAACCCAAAAAAAAATTGGTTTTGACTTCCCTTTAGCTTACTAGTTCAATAAATTTTGAGCTGGAATTTAGCTCATTATGAGCTGGTTTTTAGTTCATTTAGTGAACTAAAAGTTAGCTCATTATTAGCTAGGTTTTAGTTCATTTATTATCTTATTTATGTATCTTTTTATTTATAGTTTTGTCTTTTAAAATTCTGAGTTTGTCCTTTGGGATTCCAAAAGGGCTTCTGGATTTCCTATGTTGGCTGTTTTCCATGCTTGGCTCCTTGGCTTCCTAGGTTGGCTGCTGGGTGGCCTTTCCCGTGCTTTGGTGCCTCGGTTCTGTGCGGGCCTCTTGGGTTTCCGCGGCTGCCTCTTCGGGTCCCTGGCTGGGCTGTTTCCCGTGGCTGATAGGGGGCTTTTCCGTGGCTTTGGTGCTTTCGTTTCCTGGAGTTGGCTGTTGGCTTTTCATTTGCTTAGAATATGAAGAGTTTTGTGGCTGTTTGTTTTCTCCTCTTATGTCTATATATAGAAGATGTTTTGGAATGTTTTTAGTAATGATATATGAGAATTTTTGAAAAGAAATCCTTGTGATTTTTTTGGAAGAGGTTGCGAGCTTTGTCCACCTTTTTCTTCTATCTCTTGGGGAGACTTGCGAGTTCTTTCCACCCTTCTTCTCGGCTTCTAACCTCTTTCGTCTCTCCGCAAGTGACCAACCCACTTGTATCCCTCTTCTCAAAAGTAAGCAAGTTTATGGTGTCTTGTTAGAGTCTTTGTTTGTAAGTCGTTTAATTTTAAGAGTTGTAAGGTGTTATGCTTTGATAGATTGAGTTCAAAAGTTTGTAGTGTCTTTTTTTATGAAATGATAAAGGTTTGTTCTTCCTCTTACTTAGATTCTTAGTTGTATTAACGTAAGTATTTTCTGGGGTGAATCAAGGAAATTTCTTGAGTGTGGTCTCTCCCCAGGATTTTTTTTATGCTCACATCATTTTTGATATCAGAAGCAAGTTAGAAGTCCTAGTTTTTTTTTTTTTTTTTTAGTATGGTTTTAGTTCAAGTCAGTTCTTGTTTGTGAGTCTTTAGATCTATGTTTTTTAGGCTGAGTCTTATTTGAGTCAAGTTTATTGTTGGTATTCTTTTAAAATATAAAAAGACAAAAAGATCGAAGAGAGTGGAGAAAGGCAAAGCCTGAAGAAATTGAAGACCACTATGTTCAAGGATAAGATGGGATCTCATCGGATCTATCAATCCTCTAACTGTAATGAACTGTACAAAATTCAATCATGATGCACTGTGTACATAAAGGTACATGAAGAAGAAGCAAGTGTTACAAGATTCATTTCTGAACAAAGACGAGAAGAGATCTTGAAGAAATGATGAAAAAATATTAAAGAATTGAGTGCTCGTTCACCTCTGGAAGAAACAAAAGCTAACTCATCGGCGAGGAGTTCTCAAGAAGGGATGTCTGATATAGAGCAAGGGGAGAGGGGGTCAAATTCAACCAAAAATTTGGTTTGACTTCCTTGAGCTTAACTAGCTAATAAATTTTGATGGAATTACTTCATTATGAGAATGTGTTTTAGTTCTTTAGGTAACTAAAAGTTAGCTTATTTTAGTAGGTTTTTTTTTTATTATCTTATTATGTAGCCTTTTTATTTATAATTGTCTTTAAAATTCTGAGTTGCCCTTGGGATTCCAAAAGGCTTTGTGATTTCCTATGTTGGTTTGTTTTCCGTGCTGTCTCCTTGCTTCCTCGTTGGCTGCTGGGTGGCCTTCCGTGCTTTGGTGCCTCGGTTCCGTGCGGCCTTTGGGTTTCGCGGTTGCCTCTTCGGGTCTGGCTGGGCTTGTTTCCCTAGGTGATGGGGCTTTTTCGTGGCTTTGGTTGCTTTCGTTTCCTGAGTTGCTGTTGGTCTTCTTTGCTTAGATATGAAGAGTTTTGTGGCTATTTTGGTTTCTCCTCTTATGTCTATGATTAGAGATGTTTTGGAATGTTTTTAGTATAATATAGGGAAGAATTTTTGAAAAGAAATCCTTGTGATTTCTTGGAAGACTTGGCGAGCTTTGTTCTACCTTCTTCTTCTTATCTCTTGGGGGAGGATGCGAGTTCTTTCCACCTTCTCGTTTAACCTCTTTCGTCTCTCCGTAAGTATCACTCATTATATCCTTCGTTCCTCTTTTGGAAAAGCAAGTTTAGTTTTTAATTTTGTGTTTTGTATCGTTTTGTTAAGATGTTGTAATGTCGTTCTTTTGTTGAGGTTGACAGTTTGTTAAGGTATACAGGTTTTAGTACAAGTCTTTTATATGAAAGGTTAATGATTGTTCTCTGTTACTTAGTTTTGCTTAGTTTGTATTTCCGTGTCTTTATTGGGGTGGATCAAAGAATTTCTTGAGGGGTCCTCTCCCCAGGGATTTTTTGTTCGCATCAATGATTAATGTATAGTTCAGATTAGTTTTTATAACCTTATATAGGCTTTTTTAGTTGTATTTGCTTTTCATTTTTTTGTTGTTGTAATGATTAATATTTGATTTGGATTTTTACATAAATGGTAGGTTTGGCTGCATTGATTGCATTAAAGATAATTATACTTATCAATATTTATAGAAGAGGAATCAATAGAGCATAAACTTTGATAGTGAGAAATTTAATTCTGAACTTAATAAGGAAGTCCTCTGACAATATATTGTAGATACCAGATATTTGATAAGTTACTACTATTATTGTATTTTTTTGAAAAGTTGCTTGGCTTCACTAAATTTAAGGTTTGTTTAGAGGAGCATTTGACCCTTCATTTGAGATGAAAAGTAATGCACCCGATGGGCATCAGCTAAACATCTTTGTATATGAAAAAAAAAAAATGTTAGCTTTCAACAACTTGCACTTTTTTTTACTCATGTGAAAAATTGGGAGGTTTGTAAGCTTCTTTCTATTTCTTGGTGGTAGGTCTTCAATGTCTTTTAGCGGTGGATCAAGTCATGGCTATGCCGACAACATTAGAAAACCCAATCAATCGAATTAGTGCTCGCTCAACAACGACTCTAAGACAACAATCGACTAGAAAAACACGATCATTTGTGGTGAAAGAAAACTTTCTTTGAACCCAGGTCAGAGTTGGATAGAGAGGTGGAACTTTGGCCATATCAATGATCATCGGAATGGAGAGGGTAGTTTCCTTCCATGCCTAGTGGTTCAAAGATCAATGAAATACAGGAATGCAGAGGGTAGTTTCCTTCCATGCCTAGTGGTTCAAAGATCAATGAAATACAGGCCATTCGTATGAGAGCTCACCTGAACAATTTCTCTTAGCAGCTCACATTTTTTTCATGGATACGGTATTGCACCTTCCTATCTCTTTTTTGCTTTTTAGGTTTATTATATGTTATTGTTGTGGACATCCAACCGTCCATGCCAATCCGAGGAGGAGCTGAAGATCGACGACCGAGATCACTTTGTTTTATTTTCGTTTATTAAGTGTATTTTAATTTAGTTTTGCAATTTCCCTTTTTTACCCTCTTCTCTTATGTAAGCCCAAGAGGCAAATGTGTCTTTTAATTTCTTTTGAGGCCTATATATAGAGGCACCTTCTCTTGTATTAGGATGATGGATTATTAATAAAAAAATTTGTGTTTTGCACTTGGGTTCTTTGGGAAGAACGTTAGAGAAATCCCTATGGGAGGGAGTCGGAGTTTCCACTAGTCGCAGGATGGGTCCGGGCTCGTGGCGTGAAGTCCCTTGTAGAAGGGCAACGTAGTACCCGTTAGCCGTAGGATGTGTCCGGGCTCGCGGTTGTATCTTTGATATTTTGTTTCTCTGTTTTTGTTCCTTCTTATTGCTCCTAGTAGTCATATTCATCCTCTTCCTACTTTCACCATCACGTCGTCTCCATCTCCACCTTGCCGTCGGTCCCTTACCCACCCCATTCAAACCGCCGGCCACACCCTCTCCCAATTCCCACGGCCCAAGCCTCACCCGAGCCCCTTCCTCTCTTCTCCAACCCACGGCTAGAGCCCTCACTAGAGTTTTGCCGCCGGCCACCTCCCTAGCCGCCGGCTTGTTCATCCCTAACTCCTCACATCTTGTGTTTCCTAATTGGGCCACAGATAAATTGGGATAGATTTTGAAATTCAAAAAATTCTGAATTGAGTTCAAAAACTTTCCTAATTTAACCTTCCTATTTTAGGAAAGTGTTTAT